ATTCCGGCGTCAACTTCCATCCCTAGTTCGGTTGTGTCAGTTAGGTCGACTGGGCAGATATGATGACTTCCAGGAGTAAACTCTGCGACAAAATCTGCCAAAGATTGGGCTTTTGTTGCGGTTCTGGGTTGGAACTTGATGTCAAATTGTCCCAACTCTATTGCCCATTTCAAGATTCGCCCAGAAAAGTTTGCCCTCTCAAACAAAGCTTTTAGTGGGAAAGCTGTGAGGACAACTATGGTGTGGGCGTGAAAGTAGTGTGCCAATTTCCTGGAGGCCATCATTAAGGCCAATGCTAATTTTTCCAATGGCAAATACCTTGTTTCGGCTCCCAGTAATGTCTTGCTCACATAATAGATGGACAGATGTTGAATTCCTTCTGCACGGACCAACACTGCGCTAATTGCATGCTGAGAGACTGCCAGGTAAAGGAAGAGTTCTTCCCCAGGTATTGGGGTAACCAGCAATAGTGGAGAAGACATGTATTCTTTCAAGAGCTTGGTCGCATTCTTCGTCCCATTCGAACTTGGCTTTTAGTGCATGGAAGAATGGTCATAGTCTGTCTGATGACCGGCTTATGAACCGATTGAGCGCAGCTGCCATGCCGGTGAGATGCTGCACTTCTTTCACTGAGTTTGGTTTCTCAAAATCCTGGATTGCTTTGATCTAAGAGGGGTTTGCTTCTATACTCCGGTTGGTCACAAGGAAGCCTAGGAATTTGCCAGATCTTACACCGAATGCACACTTAGATGCATTAAGGCGTAACTTGTGCTTCTTCAGGATTTCAAACATCTCTCCTAGGTCCTTGAGATGGTCATTCTCATCCTTGCTTTTGACCACCATGTCGTCGATGTAAGCCTCCATCGTTCCTCCTAACAATGGTTCAAACATCTTGGTGACCATTCGTTGGAATGTTGCCCCTCCATTCTTCAAGCCAAAGGGCATGACCTTGTAACAGTATAGTCCTCTTGGTGTTGTAAAGGATGTGACCACCTGGTCTGGCTCATGCATGGCGATTTGGTGGTAGCCTCTGTATGCATCTAGAAAGCTGAGTCGGTTGTGCCCCGCCGTTAGGTCTACCAGTTGATCTATCCGTGGTAGAGAAAAGCTATCTTTTGGGCACGCCTTGTTGACTGTTTTGTAGTCAACGCAGACACGCTATTTGCCATTCTTCTTTGGCACTACGACCGTGTTGGAGATCCATTTTGGGTAGTGCACCTCTCTAATTGCTCCTGCCTCTAACAGGTTACCTACTTCTTCTGCCACTATTTCGGCACGGTGAAGTGCCGATCTGCGAGTGCGCTGAATGACTGGTCTGGCGGATGGGTGGACATTGAGTTGGTGACAGATGAAGTTTGGATCAATGCCTGGCATGTCGTAGGGTGTCCAGGCGAATACTTCGATGTTAGAGGTTAGGAATTCCAAGACCTCTAATCTCTCAGTGCTGGACAACGACGAACCGAGCAAAAAGAACTTATTCGGGTTCTTTTCATCTATTTTTACTTCTACCAAGTCCTCCACTGCTTTCTGATCCGCCGCTTTGCCGACATTTGCGAATAGCTCATTACTCTCAGGTTCTTCCACCGAATGAACATATCCTTTGGCAGTGCGGCTGCCATTCACCGTGACGAAGCATTGCTTCGACATGATCTGATCTCCATAGACTTCTTTAATTACCCCGGTATCGTTGGGGAACCGCATTACTTGGTGGTAGGATGACGCCACTGATCGCATGGCATGCAGCCATGTTCTGCCCAAGATGATGTTGTAAGTGGATGGGACCTTCAATACCCAGAACTCCACTTGTTTCGTCACGCTTCCTGCACTGACTGGAAGAATTATTTTGCCGACGGGCCATTCTGGCATGGAGTTGAATCCAATTAGGGGAGATACGGCAGGCGCCAAGTCTTTGTCTTGCAGCTTCAATTGTTTAAATGTTTCGTAGTACATGATTTCACATGAACTACCCTGGTCAATCAGAATCCGCTTGACGTCAAAATCCTTGACTCGGAGAGTGACAACCAGGGCATCATTGTGAGGGCAATATATCCGTTCCAAGTCTTTATCCGAAAAAGACATGACGTTTGTTGCCTCTGTCTTCCCTTTCTTGATGGCAGGTTGGGCACTTAGCACCTCTCTAAAGTGCTCAGCCTTTTTGATTGATCCCCTAAGCTCGTATACACGCTCAGGTTCAAAGACTCCATGTATCACATTGATAATGCCTTGGGGTGGGGCGTCGACTGGCATCCCGTTGGGGTTATTATGGTCCGAGGGGGCTGGTTGGGTTCCTCATTCAATATATTTATCCAGGTGGCCGGTTGCCACCAACTCCTCCAAATGTTGTTTTAATGGCGTGCAATTCTCAGTGCGGTGCCCCTTTTCTTTGTGGAAGGTGCATCGCGATCTTTCGTCATAGTCTTTCTGTGCTTCTCCTAGCTTAGCTGGCCACTTAACGAAAGGCTCATCACGTATTTCGCTCAGAATCCGATAGATCGGTTTTTTGAATACTGTGGTTATGGCCGTGCGGACCCTCAGCCATCTTTTATCCTGGTCCTCTCCGTTGTCTCGCCTGCCACGTCCGTTTCTGTTAGGTCGTTCTACCGTGTTGACCTTTGCTGAGGTCTTCTTTTCTGGTATTGTGGTCGCGCCAGATTTTGCTTTGGCACGTGCGCCATCCTCTTCCACCCTGATGTGTTGATGCATTCTTTCCATCAAGGCTTCCATGGTAAGGGGAGGCGTCATGGTGATCGAGTCCCTTAGTCTGTTCCCGACTGGAAGGCCTCTTTTATACTGCGCAATGGCGAGATTAGTGGGGTAGTCCCCAATCTGGTTGAATGTCTCCCAGTAGCGACTATTGTAGGATCTTAGGGTCTCTTTGTCGCCCATGTCGATGGAGAGTAACTGGTCAATCTCCACCGGGGTTTTAGTGTTTGTTCTGAATCTTGTGACAAATGTCTCTGCCAATTGCGCCTAGGAGGCTATGCTGCCTTCTGGAAGTTTTTCAAACCAAGTCAAGCCTAGATCGCCAAGGCTTGACGGGAAGAGGATGCACATTAGAGCCTTGTTTCACCGATATACCGCCATAACCTGGCGGAAGTGGCTTAGGTGAATGTAGGGGGTCCGTCTTCCCCTCGTACGTAGTGAATTTGGGCTAAAGGAAGCCTGTAGGTAGGGGCGCGTTTTTGATTGCCGGAACGAACGGCGAGGTTTGCAGCCTCGCTAATGCTTTGTCCGTCGGTTCGTAGGCAGGGCGTGGTAATGGCATTCCAACCTCGATGCTTCCATGCGATCGAGGAGCCAATCATTGAAGGGCGGAAACTCTGCGAGGGTCGCGCGCCCTGGTGTCCTCCTTCCATCGTGCCTTTTCTTCCAGCATGATCCGCAAATCGGATGATTTGGGCAACTCCGTCTGTTTGGATGATGTTTGGTGCGAGTGTGAGGGTCGGTAGGTACTCCCTTCTGTGTAAGACCTCAATGATCTCGTTCTCTCAGACCTGGAGTAACGAGTTCTGGAGGTTCCAGACTGAGTATCGCCTGTCCTGAGGCTTCTACTTTCTGCTTGTAACGGCGTTGGACGTGTTCCATGGTCTTCTGAGTGGCGAGGGGGCGTCTTGTTTTTGCGCCCCTCTCCTATCGCCACTCTTTTTTCCTTCATCTGGCGGCGTTTCAAGGCTTCAATGTCAGCCGCCATCTTTCTTATTAATTCGTCTTGCTCCTTCACGCGATCCTCCAGAACTTGAGGATCAATCCTCCGCCTTTGCCTGTCAGGACTTTGTGAACGAGAGCGACGGGGGCTGTGAGTCCGCCTCCCCCTAGTATCTCTCCTGGCGTTGTGTCGTTGGGGCTCCAAGTCCGCCATGGGGGGGATAGAAGGTAATCCTTCACGCCTGGCCCCCCCATCTGGTGTTTGCCCGTCGATGGCGGACTGTGGTAATTCTTCATTGTGCGCCATTGTTCCTCAAGAGGTAAAGCTTGATCAAGAGGTTTTGTCCTGTCTGATTTTCCCACAGACGGTGCCAATTGTACGGGAAAGAAATAAACCTTCTCGTATAATCCTGTTGATCAAGTCTGCACTCCTCTGTACGTTGTCGCTTTATCACCTGAAGACACAAACATGAGCTAGCCGGTGGGTGTGTGCCGGAAACCTCTCCGATGCCTAAGTCAGTAAGCTTGATAGACAAAAGCTCTATGTATTCAGAAAGCAAAGATGTGTTACCTCTCCAAAGGTGATGTTGTAAGCTTTTATAGGTTTCGTGTGGCACAATCCTAGTAGGACTTCTACTCCTTCATGCAGAGTCCTCCTAGGATTCATATTCCTGAAAGATAATGCTTATCCTTCAACACCCCCCTCACTGCTTAAACCAAGTGAGATGGTTTTATCATGGCCGAACTCTAATATGACCGAAGTAAATATGTCTATGCATAGCTGAAGAGTAAGCCGAACTAACTCTTCCTTTTAATGCTTTTATGTCGGCTTCTCATGCACAACCCATAGCGTGGTCAGACCGAACTAACATGTCGAGACCGGTGTAACTTCAAGACCGGTCTAACTCCGAAGTACCGTTAGACCGATCTAACTTCGATCTTCTGTTGGACCGAACTAGCTTCACGGCCTTAGGACCGGACTAACTTTAAAATATCCACACGACCGGAGTAACTTTACATGGCCATTTTACTCGGCCCTTTGTACTGCGGCTCATAGCGGCCCATTACTCAGCTCGGCCCAATTTTCACATAAATTATCCTCTCAACCTGCATATAGATTATATATATATATATATAATTAAATTGATGCGGTAATAATAAATGTATCAATTTAATCACATGTATAAAAAATAGTGTTACTTAAAAATAAATTATTTCTCTTTTAATTTGGGGATAAAATTACCTATTCTGAATTCCGCTCAATCCAGGGGCAAGGGCGCTGGGCTTTGATTGCAGACGTACACATATATATATATATATAAGCGTCCTCTACTGTCTGTGAGGAGCGAAGCGAGAGAGAGAGAGGGAGAGAGATTTTTGCACAAAAATGGCGAGCGCAGCTCAAATACCAACCAGTTTCGGGCATGAACTGAGAGCATGCCTTCGGTGCAGGCTTGTCAAAACCTATGATCAGGTCTCTATCTGCTTGTGTTAATTGCTACAGCGGTTGTCTTATGTATCTCATTGAAATCGTCTCCTTCCTTGTTTCGTTAGGGTTTATTTTTTAATGACATTATTCATTTATCCTGTATTTATATGTAGTATTATTATTGGGGGCATGCCTATTTGTGGTTAATTTTTCAAAGTTACAGTTTAGGGAATCGGGATGCGAGAACTGCCCCTTCTTTAAGATGGACGAAGATCATGAGCGTGTTGTTGATTGCACTACTCCTAATTTTACTGGGTAATATTATTTACGCATCTCTCTCTCTCTCTCTCTCAGTTTAGTACAATCTACATGATACATGTTGCTAATTTCATTGTTTGTTTGTTTGTTTTTTTGTGCTCTCCACATCAATCGCTTCACTTCTATCTTCGTTTAATTTTTTTGGTGAGAATTGTTTTGCAGGATTATCTCAGTCATGGATCCGACCAGAAGTTGGGCTGCTCGATGGCTTCGCATTGGTATGCCGAGCTATTTTTCATTCTAATTTTTTCTTTTTTTCTTTTGAAAATTCTGGAAGGTTTTACACTTACATGGTTATTTCTATATGCTCATCTTTTCTTTTTCTTTTCTTTCTTTCTTTCTTTCATTTTTTTTCTTTCTTTTTTCTATTTACCCAAATATATATATATATATATATATAGATGCTGCTTTTGTGCATGAGTGAGCTAGTGCTTCTTCATTAATTTTTTCTGTTTGGTCTCTGGTTGACACTATACAGCCTCTTGTTTTGGAAGCCTTATGAGCCAGAGTTGCCTGCTTTTCGAATTAGGGTTTAGCGCACTGGATTTATAGAGAGCTTGTATGTTGACAAGGACATATGTATCTTAGCCTGTGTGGATATGTGTGCCTGGCCTAAAGCCTAAAGCCTAAACGTGAATTTGCTAAAATGTTGTATTTTTTGGTAAATTTTACAATTATCATTGCTTCTTTCTAATTAGAAAAAACAAGAGGCTAGTTTACAAGCTTGGTAAAACAAACAAGATGAAACATATCTTCTCATAATCATCATCCATCATAATCTGCTGTAATTTTCAATCAACTGTGGTTGCACTCAACTTCAATTAACAATGTTGATGTTATCATATGCATAACACATGCGCATGCACTATACAGCATGCATCAGTTTTGTTAAGTTATAAGTTAACAAAAGACAAACAAATATATATAAGTAAAAAACTACGTAGACAAAATGCGGAAATGCTATTTGTTAGCCTCATGTGCAAAAAATTTGAAGCAAGCGAAAGGTATCAAATTAAAATCCTAAGCTGTATGAGGTGGATATAATATAACATGAAGGATGACATGCTCTTCAAACATAAAGACAAACTCGTATGTTGTTGCTATAAATTCCTATTGAATACAAACTCATATGTTGTTGCTATAAATTCCTATTAAATTTATTTTGTAGTTGGCTCAATTATGGCAAAGGTTAGGATTGTACCCAATCTACCCCTCCTTGACCCCATCAAATGGGGACTAAGCTTGGTATAGTTTTAGTCTGTTCAATTATATTATTAGAAGCTGACAAGTGTACATGTTGCATGCAACATATTGTGTAGACATTTAATTTTTCCTGTAGGTATAGTAGAAGAAACATGGACATTCACACAGCATGATGACAAACTTTCCATTGTCTCGTTCCTTGAATTTGAGGAAATGACGACAATAACTATTGACACAATATATCTGAGCTAGTGTCAACTAACATAGCCATAACCACAAGAACTTATTGGACTGATGGGTAAGTAATTCCTTTCTCTGATTTTACTTCTTCTTCCATTGTTTTTATCATCCTAGTGGAGGAGGAAACCACCTCCACACAACTATCTCCATGTCTATTGTGTTCATCAACACTAAGTGGCTTCTAAGACCATGTTGGGACCACCATAGTTTGCAAAATACATCTTTGTCTGAGACACCCTCTCCACCCTTCCTCATCCATCACCATACACAACTCTGAGATGCAAACTTTTTCTCTCCTTTGTAGATGCGAGTCTTTGCCTCCAAGAACCTCCACCCAATCCAACACCCAACTTTGAAGTCTCCATTCCAGCAACCTACCTCCCCCTTTTCATATTCCACAAGAAATTTCTACATGACATATGTAGGATGACTCCTTGCCTAGCAAGCCAACTTCATATCCCAAAAAAATGAGAGATCTTTGGAGTCTTCTCCTTTGCTCCACTATTTTCATTCGATTCCCATGCTTGCCTTGTCCAACAAAGTCGAAAGTCTTCTGTAGTAGCTGAACAATCATCCTCATCTCCCCTGCCTACTAATCTTTCCCCTTTGCTTGAATCATCTATCTTCAAAGAAGATGATAAGCCCTATTCTTCCCTTCAACCCTTCCTTTATGTGCTGGATTGAATATACTGGACCGATTACATATAATATTCTCGAATGACTCTCTCTCTCTCTCTCTCTGAAGACAAAAGTTGGTATTGTCTTTAGTTATTTTTTCCTTCTTTCATTTAGCTGCTACATTGCTAAAAATCAAAAGGGCTAAAACAAGTGGTTTTCTGCAAATCATTTCTTTCTTTTTTCATTATGTATCATGTTGTTGCTTTTTTTTTTCTTTCTTTTCCTGGTGAAATTTGGCATTGTCAGCTTCAGGAAATGCAAAACCATAAATTGCTGAATTATCCTCAATTCGAGAACATAAGAAAACTTAAATGAGTAGGACCAGCTGCAATTTAACTTTGAGTAAATTTAAATAGGATTCTAAACATTACCTTCGACATTTTCTTTTGGACCAATATTTGTTGCATCACTATGTGCTTCTTCTTAAGACTCTTATGTATACGTTCACTGATGTGTGTGTACATGGGTGCGTTATTATGCCACATCATTCTCTCATATGGAAAAATGGAGAGAGAGAGTTCACAATTAAGTGACAAATATAAGGTTCAGTGAGCAAAAATCATAAGGTTTATTATGCCACATCATTCTCTCATATGGAAAAATGGAGAGAGAGAGAGAGTTCACAATTAAGCAACAAGCATAAGGTTTAGTTTGTGGTCTGAACCTTCGAGAGGAAAAGCCATTGAACCCAAGGAAGAGAGAATTTTTTGGAGAGAAGATAATCTTGTCAGGAAAAACTAAAACAGTCATTTTTATTATTGCGGATCCTGTTGTTATTTTGTTCTTGTTTCATTGTAACTACTTTAGGTGAAAGAAAAAATGTGCAAAAGGAGAAGAGGACTCTTGGAGAAGATAAGAGACATCCCTTTGGAAAAGACTAGAACAATTATCTTTCTCTTCATAAAACCTTGCACTTGAAGAATTTTGCCACCGTTGAGTTTTTGAATTAATATTGAACATGAAATGATATTGATTGATATAATTGAATAACTAGTTTTCCTTTTTTCCAAAAACATTTGATTGTTTATTTCAGTGGAAAATTTATGGTTTTAATGACTTGTAACTTGGAATTTATGATCATATTAAACCTTTACCAGGAAGATTTGTCCCTGGTTGTTACACGCTTGCAGTCTCAGAGGCACTCCCCGAGGATCTTCAGGTTTGCAATTTATACTTCCTGCAATTCTTAAATTTTGTTCTCTTAGAATGTATTTTTGTTCTGTGAAGTTGGTCAATATTTACCTTGGCAATTTATAAGTTTGAACCAAATTATTCATGACTGTTGCATTTTATAATCTTCTCAATGCTCCATGTAAAAATAGTATACAGATGTGTGATACCAGAAATCAGTCCATCAAGTCCATTCCCATAAATGAATCTAATGAATTTCTCAATGACTGAGAACAATGGATTTCTTAAAGTTTTTTTGCTTTCTAAAACCAACATGGTTTCCCTTACAAAAGTTTTACAGTATTCGTACAAACTAGGGTGGCCCAACCCTCAATGAGGCCTCAGGCGAAATTTATATTGTTGCTTTTTAAGTAAAATTCATTTCCATCTTCTATTCTTTTAATTAAAATTTGAGGCTGTTCACCATCTTGACTATTAGGGCCTTTGGATAAGGATATTTTTTGGGGCGAGTAATTTTACATACCTAGAAAATGTGTTCATAAAACCAATTGGGTAAATTAAATTCCGAACATACCCTATGAGATTTGCTTAAATTACATATTGCCCCTGTAGTTTTGGATATTACATTTTGTCCGTTCGAGTTTCTAATTGCATAACAAATAACCCCTTTTATAAATAAATCATCAAAACAATTAACAGTTTTTAATGATGCTAGAAATAAATTTCAATTTACAATTCATGTACTTTTATTGTTGTATAAGAGAATAGTTAGGAATTTTATTTTTTTAGTTAATTCTGTTACATAAAAATTTCTGATAAGGGGATATTTGCATTTTCTATAATTAGAGCAATTTGTATTTTAAGCAAATTTGAAGGGCTGTATTTGTAATTTACCCTAACTATTTAGAAAAGTCCATGACCCCCACCTAGCTATGAAAGCAATAAAACACAAATAAAGCATGTGTAAGAAGATCAAAACGAGTAAATATGGTGTTATGTGAACATTTCTAGATATTTTTCTAGGTACTTTTTTTAGATATGTATGATTATTCTTTTCTTTTTTATCTGGGTTTTTGAGAAATGAATTGTTTTTACCGGGACTTTGAACAAGGAGGGTTTTTTTTTTTTTTTTTTCTTCCTTCTTTTTAACTCTTTATTATTGGGGCTTTTGAACGTGGAAGATTTTAATTTTTTCAGGCTTTACTATTAGGTCCTTTGGACATGGAAGTTCTTTTTTTTTTCTTTGGCCTTCGGATGAGGAGGAATCTTTTTATTGTACCTTGTGACAGTTATTTTTATTAGGCTTTAGATAAGGAGCTTTTCTTTGGGCATCCAGCAAGTAATTTAGAAATTTAAGGCCTCTTGAAAAAGTGGGCTTTAGGCGGCAACTTCAATGGCCTAGTGATTGAGCACCCTGCCTACAGAAAACCTAGTTGCCTTATATATAAGTTTTGAAGAGATTAAATTTGAGAAAAACTGAAATTCTACAGAACACTCAGTGGGGGGACCTTTGGACATCTTTTTTTCAGTTAGGCGCTAGCTCGCTTGAGTGCACTTTGAGCTGGAGCTTGTGTACATTTTTTGGCAAGTGAAATTGTAGACACCTGCCACTTTGAGCATGGTTTCTGTGGGAGCTTCTGAAGTATTTTCTTATAAACCCTTTGTGACCTGCTCAAAATGTGTATTTGAGTAGGGACATTTTGTTTTTTTGCAAAATTTTAATTCCAAAACCAGTCAGGAACAGGAAAGGGTCAAATAGGTCTATTTGGTGCAAAACTGAACTTTGGTCCCATCTCCATTGCACTATGCTCTATGAAGCATGGATACGGATAAAATAAGATACGATGCGATATAGATATGACGATATAACAAAACCTAAAAACGTAAGATATGGGTACGACTATGATACGCTTGTAAAAAATTATAATTTTTAGTATTAATACATAAACTCAGACTATCATGATAAATCCTTCTATATAAATTAGTTATTAGTTTAAGAGTTAATAGCTCTATTTTTTTTTAGTAGGTCCTATAAAAATTTCATTTAAATATGAAGTCTTAACTATCTATATTGCCATTGTGCTTGTCCTTTTACACTTAAATGAAATATACAAAATATTGTACGCAAGTTTTCCATTATTGTTTAATTGCTAAAATTCAATTTTAGTATATTATATTATTAATTTATCCTAACCTTCTATAAAGTATGTTCTTGGATATGAGACGCATGTGCACATTAAGGATAAGCCAATTTAGTAAATTTAAAAAAGGTAGGATACTACTGTAATCTCACTGTTTTCTTCTTCTTTAAGTAAAGTATTGAAAAATTATTTTTGTACTATCCTAACAATTATACTCTAATGCTGCAAAATTTATTATGATCTCAATTTTATAATAATTTCGATATGTGACCAAGAGTATCCAAAAAGCATCTGATATTTTTCAAAATTAAAGAAAATTATAGAATATGCTTGTGAAAATTGTATTTTCTGCGAGTACAGTGCGGTGATTGCATTGTCTTTGTGTTGATCTTGAAACTGCAACACCCAAGACACTCAACCTAACCTATCAACTCATTATAACCAAAATCCATTGTGTCTACATAAATTGCCCATACACTAGATACCTACCTAGGGGAGTTTATTTCTGGTGACATTGTGAGATGAAGCATACTTCTTTGCACAATTTAATTTAATATGTTGAAATTCTTTTGTTAATTTTCTTCTATCTAGTTTGATACAATCTAGAATCTGATCTTGATTGGTAAATTGTATGTATTTGCAGAATCTTTGTGAAGATGAGCGTGTCCAATATGTACCCCCTAAACGTGTATGATTGAGTAGTTGATCATTACTCCAATAGCTAGTAATATTTGCTCATTTAAGGGTATCCAAATTTTCAGTTTGTAAAAGTAAATGGTTGTCAAAACTAGGGATCAGTTGACACCTTGCCTTTTAGCTCAAGCAAATGGACTCCAGACTTTGTAACATCCTTTTGGTTATGGGACTTTTTAACTGTCATTAGTTCTTGAATATTCTGCTCTTTGCCTATATCTATATGTCAAGTATGCCAAGGCTTTGAGGATACATGAGAATGTCTCAATCTTGGTGAAAGAGAAAAGAAATGTGGCCGCTTGTGTTTTAAAGGGTGATATTTGATTGGGGATGATAGAGATTTCTATTCCATTTAATAGCTTATAAAAGGAAAACAGAGAAGGAGGGGGCCTCATTTTTAATTTTCAGAATAGAAGCTCATATATGTTCTTTAAACTATTAAGCTGATAAGTCTTTTAAGTGAGTACACATGGTCATGGGATAAGCGTGACCTATTAGATAACTTCTCTAGAGAAAAGAAAGCAAAATCCAAGGGAAAAGAGTGGGGCTTTAATTGCAAGAATCTTGCATTTCTGATTTGCATTTATTTTAAAAAAGAATGTCTACAAAAAGAAATATATAATTGGACATAAAAACAATTTTAGAAAAGTAGGTCTCACCAATAAATTTTTTAAAATCCCATCTATATATTTTCCGAGTATGGATTGGTTTTTTGGTTTTTTTAGCTATTTTACCCTGCAGTTAAAAAGTCTCGTTTGAGATAAATTTTTTTGATTTTTTTAATTTTTGTGAGAAAAAGAAATAAAATAATTATAATTTAGATATGATATTTTGTCTTATTGATTTTTTAGTTTATTTTTGTCTTTTTATAACTAAAATAGTCAAAGTAGTCTATGTCAAACATAGTTTTAGTTTGTGTTATACTAGGGTTAAGCAAGGAATCCGTAATTCGATTCGGTCCAGTCAAATCCGGTATGTTTGGATTGATTTTTTGAATCTGTAATTCGGTTCCGGATTGAAAAATTAAAAATTCGTAGTCCATGGATTGATTCTGAATTGAACTCTACGGTTCCGGATTGGAACCCAATTATATTATACACCCTCCCGGATAGAATTTTTTCTTATTCCATATAAAACCTAAATCCAAATCTAAATCCGCATAGTATCTTCTTTTATTACTTTTGTTGGTTAGTTTTTAATTTTAATTTGTAATGATCAAAATACTTATGGTGGAACCAGTTTAAATTCTAGAACAGTATGTTGCTATTATAGAAAAACATGTTGCTATTTTGGAACTAATATAATACTATGTTTATTTTATGAAATTAAAATGTTTTATATATATTTTTTCTTATTTAATTATGTGAATCTGTGGTCCTAAATCGATTCATTCCGTGTTTAAATTGATTGGTTCGGGTTGGTTCGGGTTGGTTCCACGATTTAAACGAATTAGATTGGTTCTAATTTTTTAAGAACCGTAAATAACGGATTAGTCTTAATTTTATTCCCGTCCGAATCAATTCAGACCATATTCACCCCTATGTTATACATATTGAAAAAAAATGTAGTGAATAAGAAAGTGTAGTTTAACAAAGCTATGAACTGGTTTTAAGACCCCTGGGTTGAAAATTATTTTGTTTACACGCTTGATAACGTGCAAACAAAGCAAATTTATTTATTTATTTTTTTTATTGATTTAAACTGTGTGATGGACTTTATTTCAAGTGGAAGTCTCTGTTATTTTAATCAATAGAAAAGTATGTTTTGTTTTAGAGCATCTCTAATGGTTTGTCATTGAAATTGCTATTGTTAAATTATGGCAGCAGTTCATAAAAATGGTAACTTTTAGCAGCTATTATCTTTGGCAAATGCCAAAGCTACCAAGTCAGCTTCAACCAACCGTTTTTTCACTCCCTCCCTCTTTCTCTTCCTTTCTTTCTCATCATCCTTTCCAAACAAAGAAGCAATTTTCTTCCAATGCCAAACACAGAAGTAATTTTCACCCAATTTCACCCAAAATTGAACAATTTCAAACAGAAGCAAGCTAGTAAAATTTCAATTTCACCAATTTCAAGCCAAAAAAAAATTAAGAAAATAAACGCAGTGAAGTCAAAAAAAATACTT